AAGAAAGCAAGAGAGTGAGCAAGCATAATCTAAAACTGTCCTGGGTGTCCTCATAAATGACTAGGAAGAGGCATTATGCAGTTGGACAGTCGGATGTGGTGCATCCACATGGGAAAGGGTACAAAAAGAAAGTCAGCAGGGCAGGTAAGGCACTCAAGAGGAGCCCTTGACAGGGACATAGTGGTACCACAGCAATAAGGTGAGCGGTGTCACTATCCTATCTTTTCTTTCTATGAATTTATTAAATCAATTCTATAATAAAAGGAAACTTAATTATTTCCAGTCTTCTTTTGTCTTCTTTAGTTTGCTTTGCATTTATAACAATCCTGTAAAGACTATACCCTGGTACTTTATTAGAGTATAGCCATGGAATGAGCTCCTAGAAGTCCTGTTATTGACTCAAAGGGTTATCATTCTTCTCCTTTACCTATAAAAACCAGTGGGAAGTGGTTAGTTAGCTGGGAATGGACTAGCCAAGTGACTCTGGCTTCGGATTATTAGTTGTCTTCATAAAGGTGGAAGGAAAGTGGTGCAACACTAGGGAAATATGTGGTGGAAACAAGTATTAACCCAAAATGGATGGAAAATGACTTCCTGTAGTCTGTCAATGGCTTGGGAAGCAGACAGCACTGGTGTGGAGACAGGCAGCCCTGGAATCCCCTGGAAGACCTGTTAAAAAACACAGCTGCTGAAATCCACCCAGGAGGCTCTGATTTGGCAGGTCTAGGATGCAGAACGGAGAGTCTGTGCTTCATTCAAGCGCCCAGCCCTGAGTCACTCAGGTACCACACCTAGAGGATCACTGAGTGGACTATTGCTCAAAGCAGCAGGAAGTGGTTCGGAATGGCCCAAATGACCAGAGTCTGAATTTGTATGTCCTCTGACTTTTTTTACTCCAAATTTTTCGTTAACTACTTAGATGCTAAAGTTTCAGCATTAAATGACATTGGAATAATGTGGCCAGAGTTTAAAAAAAAAAAAAACTGATGCCTAGGATTGTCCAGACTCATAACCAATCAAATAAGAATGTATTTGGGACTGGTTAGTTTATGACAATTTAACAAGCTAGAATCACCTAGAAAGAAGGGATCTCAATTAAGGAATTACCATCAATCAGACTGGCCTATAGGCATGTCTGTGGGGCATTTTCTTGATTAATGATTGATATGAGAGTGCCCACCCTACTGTGGGCAGTACCTTTCCTAGGCAAGTGGTCCTGGGTGCTATACAAAAAGTAACTCAGCCAGCCATGAGGAGCAAGCCAGTAAGCAGCATCCTCTACCTTCTAAGCTTCAGCTCCTGTCTCCAGACAGGAGTTTGGATTCCAGCCTGGAGTGCCTACCCTGGGCTCCCTCAGAGATGTAATATGACTTGGAGTTGTAAGATGAAGTCAAAGCTTTCTTCCCCAAGCTGCTTTTAGTCATGGTTTTTATCACAGCAATAGAAAGCCAACTAGAACAAGAACCAAGTCAGAAAAATGTTCTTAAAGCTTCTAGTTGGTCCAGTATAGAGGCTAAGTTGAAGACCATGGTTCCACCACAGTCCCTGAGTCTCGCCTGCAGGTTGTGACTACGTGATTCTCTCAGTGTGACCTTCACTGGCTTCAGACAGAACATGGGAAACTTTTGCAATTGATGTGGTGTTTTGTTCAGAAAACAGGCTGACAGAAGAAAGTGAAAGTGCGTATCTATGGAACTATCTGATGCTGCACATTTACAAATGCAAAGAATTGTCTTTTTCCAGGACCACATCAAGATGGTATAAATAACAGGAAGAAAGAGAAAATGTCCAAAATATACATCACCAATGGATGTTCTCTGTCTAAATTTCAAGACACACACACCTGTGAGGAAAGCCTCATACACAGTGAGACTTATCATTCTCTTCCTAGCTTGGAGGTCACAGTTCAAATTCAGCAAGGAGATGACATCCCTTGGCTGAAGGAAGGCAACCTTTTCTAAAATCTCTCCTCCACTTATCTGTGGTATTTCTGTGATTGACAAACAGACAAAAATATATTTATCTAGGGATTATCTATATTGAAAGCTAGGCATAGGATTTCTGTCTCTGTCAACATTACAGGCATATCAGCTATTTGAACAAAAGGAGAGGTATTTTTCCATTCAATCCTGAATGCGGAGGATTCTCCAGTTCATATTCAGAGAGACATTTGGTTTTATTGATCGTGATAGCTGAATTTGTTTAAACTCCTATAGCTAGGCAAAGAGGAGGTTGATTTTTCTTTTTATTGTAAAGGTTATTAGAGGGATCAGATATAGAAGTTATTTGTCTTTAGACAATCCAGTAGAATCAGAACACTCAAATATGTTCCACAAGTTTTGTTCAAAGCCAATACTTGGATAGTCTCAAGAATTACCATATCCCTTCATGGAAATTCTCATTTTATTGTCTGAGGCTTAGCTTATTTGAAGAAGATGCCTTGTTATCAAGGAAGATTTATGTATTATTCTGCTTTTAATTGATAAGAAATTTCTAAATTTTACCAGCAATCTGAGGTTGTAAGGTCCACTTGTGCCATCTGTAATCCCTTTGCTTTAGATTGTTACCTCTTGGGCTTTTTGAGCATCCTTTGTCACAAACCTTTCCCTGGCATGTTTGCCCACCACCTCCAAATCCAAAAAGAATATGTCTAAAATATTACATGGTAGCAGTTCTGTTTTATTCCTCCTCAGTGTTTGTTTGTTTGTTTGTTTGTTTGTTTGTTTGTTTGTTTAGGTGCTATTTTGTATCAAGTAGAGGCTTGCCTAGGCTGGCCTCCAACTCACAATTCTCCTGCCTCCGTTTCTCAAGTACTGGGACTAAACTATAAAAGTGTACAACCGTTCTTGGCATTCGCCTTTAAAAAAAATATTTCCTACATATTTCTTATTTAATTGGCTTGGCAGGGGGAGGGGGGTCAAGCACGTGCCATATGGAGGTCAGAGGACAACTTTCCTTCTAAACATTGGGTTCCAGGGATTCAACTCGGGTCCCCAGGCTTGGCAGCATTCACCTTTACCCACTTTTCCATCTTGTTATACTTCTTCTTAGCTTCTCGATTCTTTATCTTATTTTTTTTTTGTTTGTTTGTTTTGATTTTAGCTTTTTGGTTTTTCTGTCTTATATTTGAGAGAGAGAACATGAAGTTGAGTGGATATGGAAATGGAGAGGATCTGGGAGGAATTGGGAGAGGAAAAAAACATGACTGAAATATATTGTGTGAAAAAATAATAATACAAATAAATAAATAATAAAATTTCAAAAGAGAAGATGTAAGGGAATGAGCTTAATTCCTCAAACACAAGTCAAAACCACCAACACTCTTCCTTCCAGGGAAAGTCAAGTATCACAGGGCTCCTCCCCTGAGCTTTGTAGCCAATCTGTAACTCATTAGTGAAAAGCAAGGGCCTTAGAAGAGCCACAGTGGGTGTGTCATATTGTAGTGAAAATTTAGAACGAAGCAGAAACGTTACAGCCAAAAGACATCAGGAGTGAGGACATGTGCTTCTTCCAGACATGCCTTTTGTCTCAACCCATTCTGATATTTACACTGGGATACAGTGCACAAAGACAGCCCTTTCTTTGCTGAGAAGACCAGTGTGACTTCTAGAAAATGACCACAGTATTTTTAAATGAAGTTATGCAAATCTGATAGTCTAAAGTAAATGTTTCATAAAACCAACGACTGTTTAAATGGTAGGACTAAATTGTTTGTATATAAATATTACCTTTTATATTCCATTTGAGTTTTATGTAGATGAACACATTACTTTAATGACCTGCATTTACGGAGGGAGACTGGGAGAGTGGTTCCCTGAAATCCTTGCCAGCCAGATGGCTGCCTTTTCTTGCATGAGATTAAAAGATGTTTCTCAGTCACCATGATGCTTCTGAGGCAGATTAATATCGCCAGCTAAATTGCTTGTGTTTTCGGAATAAAATTTAAAGAGAACTTTTTAAAGCAATTGGTGTCACCGGTTCTTGGAGCAGATTGCTCTCCAGGTAGAGACACATTCGGTAATTAATGGAAAGAATTCTGTGTTAATTGACTGCTTCGGGAAGAGAGATATAATGACTCCTTATTAATCATCAAAAGAGATGTACAGCATGGAGGTCCCACAATAATTGCTCCAACAGTGGAAAAATGTTAATTAATGAAAAAGAACAATGATGTAAGAAATTAGCTACATAATGCCTGCCTCCAAGAAGTGGTTGCATTTTAAACACATTAGAACGGAAGCTACAAAGCATTGCTTTAAGTGGTAGATACACAGAACTTTCTACTCTGAATTTAGGTCGGGGGATAAAAAAAATGTTTTTCACAGTACTTCTATCACCTCTGCTTGAAGAAGTAAGAACATTCACCCAGAGCTATATTTATTTCAAAGAAAGGGTCATTGTCAATCATCTCTGATCTAGGCTTTTTAAAATAAAAAATAAAAAAAAATCCCCAGACCAAAACAAGGTCACTTATTAATGCCCTTTAATTTCAGCACAGTAGGTCATTCTGACTGCTAAGGACAAAGGGAATGGAAGACAATGCTTCTCCCCAAGTGGAAATCAGCAAATTCAGTTTCTGAACCTTTCCCAGATAGGATATAAGAAAAAAAAAAACTTCAGATTCACTTTGGGAACCAAGCATCTTCTTTTAAACAATCTAATGTTAAGTCTCTGAGAGAACAACACTGCCTGTCTCTCTAACAGTTTGTAGAAAAGGAAGTTGAGTTTAATGAACATGCAGAGACTATCAGAGCTCAGTATTAGTCCTTAGATCCAGCAGAATCATCAGTGGCCACCCTGATGACTTGCCTCTGACAAGTTCCCAGGCCATCCCTCCTCAGGCTGGAAAAGGGGCCACAGAAAGGAGCAGGCAGCTGAAGGACAGAATGACACCAACATCACTCACAGGTCCAGCTCCCTGAATGGACGGTGAGCTGTCAGCGCTGCATCCCAAGCAGTTGCAGAAATCCCACTGACTTCACCCTTGCTTTTCCTTCTAGCTGGAATGTGCTGGGACTACAAGGTGCTCTCCTCTGTCACTTCATCGAGCCCGTGTACCTCCACAGCATCATTGTGGGAAGCCTGCACCACACGGGCCACCTTGCACGGGTCATGAGCCACAGGATGGAGGGCATCGGCCAGCTGCCTGCCTCATACCGGCAAAACAGGCCTCTCCTTAGTGGTAAGAGAACAGTCTCAAGAGAGAGACCTGCAACCTCCTCCTTGTCTACAGGGCTGATGAACACAGGTCCCATGGTTGCAACTCTTGTCTGATTGCATTCATTTTGGCAATGGCAATTTTATTGAGTAAAATGAAAACAATGAGGAAATTTAATATGAACAGGTGTGTGTGTGTGTGTGTGTGTGTGTGTGTATCACAGCATATCTGATAATAAGCAATATTTTGGCATGACTTCATGTGGGACCTAGCACAGCACACATCTGTATCTTGTTTTCACTGCAGTGTTAAAGTAGCTCACACAAAGACTCTACTAACATAATGAGGTTTAAGAAGCCCCCAGCACACACTTTAGGCACCCCTGAATGTGGTGGTACATCTATAATTATAGCACTCTTTTAGGGTGATGGGAGCTGGAAACAACAGAATCCCCAGACGCTCACTGGTCAATCAGCCTGATGTATCTATGCAGTGGCAAACAAGAGACCTTGTCTCAAGCAAGGTGAAAAGCAAGGACTGACACTCAAGGTTGTCCTCTGAAATGTCACTGTCCATACTCTTACTATAACACACGCACACGCTCACGCGCACATGCACACGTGCACGCACATGCACACGCACACACCAAAAAATAAACAAAAAATGAAAGGGTCAGTCAGCCCCCAGGTCACCTGGAGTGTGTCTGCAGAACCTACAACACCCTCTGTTGCAGGGCCTGGCAGGAAGTAATTCTAGGAGGCAAGCCCTAAGCAAACTACACTTGCTACTTCCTATAGAGCCTAAGTGCTGTTAAGGAGCCAGACATGCCACCCCACCTAAAACAATTGGTTACAGGTCACATAGCCAGGGAAACACTGGATGGTGTGAAATTTTATGTACCATAGGAAGGAGCCAGTGAGAAGTCTCCAAAGCTTTGGAAAGGTGGTGTTTATCCATTGGAACCACTGGACTTCTGTATTAATTGTAAACTTCCAGGCTTGTGGGAGACAACCAAAGCAGAAGGAAGGAGCTTGTGGGTTTTAATCCTGTCCTGTTAGCCTTGTGGTGAGAACCTGGTGGAACACTCTAGGTCTTTAAGTGGGTTCCCCTTGTGCATCAGGAGAGTTCTCTTGAGGATCTACTTGTGGCAAAATCAGGAAGACACACTGGGAAACAGCGGAACTCCCTGTGCAAGAGCAGGCCTGGGCTCTGCTCCAGGAGCAGGAGGCAAGCGTTCACCAGCTTGGCTGCTTTGCTTTTAGCTTGTGCTGTGGTGTGAATGTGAACGCCTTTCACAGGCTCATGGGCTTTAATACTTAGTCCCAGCTGGTGGCACTGTTTGGAAAGGCTGTGAAACTTTTAGGAGGTGGAACCTTACTAGAGGAAGTAGGTCACTGGGTACAGGCCTCACTTCCTGTCTGTTCTGCCTCCTGACTTATTTGTGCAATACAATGAGCCTCCTTAGGCTCCTCCGTGATGGACCGTATCTCCTCAAACCATAAGCCAATGTAAGCTCTTCTTTCCTTGAAGTTGCTTCTGTCAAGTAATTTGGTCAAAGCAATGAGAAAAGTAATACAGCCTGAGTCTCAGAAAAGAAAAACACAGTAAGACAAAGCAGTTGTAGTGTGTGTGTGTGTGTGTGTGTGTGTGTGTGTGTGTGTGTCTGTGTCTGTGTCTGTGTCTGTGTCTGTGTCTGTGTCTGTGACCGTGTATGTATCTGTCTGTTTGTGTGTCTATCTGACTGGTGTCTGTGTATGTGTGTATACCTGTGTGCATACTCTGTGAATGTCTGCATGTCTATATGTTGCAGTTGGGCCTAAGATTTATTCCCAGAGTTTATAAATTGTTCCACATTATAAGATCAGGTATGCAAAGGGGCCTTGTGGGAGCTGTGGTGGGGATGAAATGAAATAATTCATGCAAAGCTGAGCAAATTCTTAAGAGAAGATGCTGCCATCACAGAAATGAATCCTTTTATTCACTTATTCTACAATGTTGACCATTTATTGGTTATGTAAAATAAGATCACAGGCATAAAAAGCTAGAACAGGGAAGGTGGAAAGGAGTTCTCCTCCATGTCTCACAACTCACATATTAAACCCCAGGCAATGTAGATGCTCTCTGAGCTCCTGGGGTCCCTGACTGAGCCTCCTCTTTCTTTTATCAGTGAGGAGAGTTCATGGCACTAGGACATGGGCTGAACCCTAGCTCCTGAAGCTGAGTGTTGTGACACATGCCTGTAATTCAAGTATTCAGGAAGCTGAGGGAGGGTCGTGGGTTCAAGGACAGCCTTAATACATAGTGAATTACAAACTAGCCTGAGATACACAGAGAGACTAGTGTTATTTTGTGTTCAAAGGCACAGGATTTATTAGATTTCTGCTAGATCCCAGAATTCCAAGTGTGCAGCTAAGGAGAACTTGTATCCAAATGTTGGCCAGTCTCAGCAAGGCTACCGCACAGAGGGTGGCACCGCTTTATCCAGGAATGTTAAACAACTGTTGTATTAAGACTTTGCCTTAAAAGGCCGGCGGTGGTGGCACACCCCTTTAATCCCAGCACTCGGGAGGCAGAGGCA